CTGGGGCCGCCGCTTCCTAGTGCGCATGAACCACTACAGCCTCAAATTTCTCCTCGACCAGCGCCTCACAACGATCCCACAGCATCATTGGGTCGGCAAGCTCCTCGGGTTCGACTTCACCATTGAGTACAAGCCCAGCGCTACGAACACGGTGGCCGACGCCCTCTCGCGCCGCGACACTGACGAGGGTGATGTCCTCGCCATCTTCGCTCCTCGGTTCGACTACATCGAGCGCCTCCACCAGGCTCAGGACATCGATCCGGCCCTCGTCGCCATCAGGGACGAGATCACTGCAGGCACCCGGGTGGCGCCATGGTCCCTCATGGACGGCATGGTGGCCTATGATTCCCGCCTCTACGTTCCGCCGACATCACCACTACTGCCAGAAATCATGACTCCCGTGCATGAGGACGGCCACGAGGGTGTGCAGCGCACCGTGCACCGCCTCCGCCGTGACTTCCACTTCCCCAACATGCGTTGCATGGTCCAGGACTATGTCCGAGCTTGCTCCACCTGCCAGCGATACAAATCGGAACATCTTCATCCGGCTGGCCTGCTCATGCCGCTGCCAGTCCTGAAGGCAGTCTGGACCAACATCGGTCTGGACTTCGTGGAGGCACTGCCGCGCGTCGGGGGAAAATCTGTCATACTGACAGTGGTGGATCATTTCAGCAAGTATTGCCACTTCATTCCCCTGGCTCACCCGTATTCTGCAGAGTCCGTGGCCCATGCTTTCTTCACCGACATTGTTCGACTCCACGGCATGCCTCAGTCGATGGTGTCCGACCGTGATCCGGTGTTCACTTCCAAGTTCTGGAGGGAGCTGATGCGCCTCATGGGCGCCAAGCTGCACATGACAACGGCTTTTCATCCGCAATCGGATGGCCAGACGGAGGCAACCAACCACGTCATTGTCATGTACCTACGCTGCTTCACCGGCGACCGGCCCCGTCAGTGGCTTCGCTGGCTGCCGTGGGAGGAATACATCTACAACATGGCCTATCAAACTTCGCTCCGCGACACGCCGTTCCGGGTGGTCTACGGCCGAGACTCGCCTACCATTCGGTCCTATGAGTCGGGCGAGACTCGTGTCGCTGCCGTCGCCAAGAGCATGGCAGACCGCGACGAATTTCTGGAGGACGTCTGCTACCGGCTTGAACAAGCCCAGGCGGTACAGAAGCTGCACTACGACAAGCTGCACCGGCAAGTCTCCTACGCGGTGGGCGACTGGGTTCTACTCCGTCTACGCCATCGCCCAGCCGCCTCACTGCCCCAGGCAACCACAGGGAAGCTGAAGCCTCGCTTCTTCGGGCCGTACCGCGTCACCGAGCTCATCAATGAGGTTGCCGTGCGCCTCGCCTTGCCTCCGCACACTAGGCTGCACGACGTCTTCCACATCGGCCTCCTCAAGAAGTTCATCGGTGATCCGCCAGCTACACCGCCACCTCTCCCGGTCATCCACAACGGCGCCGCTGTTCCGGAGCCCGAACGGGCAGTGCGCATCCGCCTGGCTCGCGGCATTCGCCAGGTGCTCATCCAATGGAAGAGAGAAACCGCGGCCTCTGCAACCTGGGAAGATGCGAACTCCTTCCTCCACAAGTACCCTGCGTTCTAGCTCGAGGACGAGCTGCTAGTCGAGGGGGGGAGAGATGTCATGTGGGGCCACGCCTATACAAGGAAACGGCGCACCCGGGATGGCCGCAGAGCCACTGAGGATCTGGGCGCGGTCACCATGCAGGCAGGCGCGCCAGCTAAAGATATGGGCGTGATCACCAGGCATGCAGGTCAGGAAGAAATGGCAAGTGGCTAGAAGGAAATAATAGCCGATCAATGCCTTAGAATTAGGAACAATTAGCTCCAATTTGTAGTGTCGAATGGCCTATATATATGAGAATAATCAGGATGAATAAGAATCAAGCAAGAATTATTACCTAATCTCTCTTCTTCTTCCTCCAAACCGACTGGAGCTGAGGGGCAAAACCTCGCCCAGCTACCACGGATCGCGAGCTACGAACTCCATAGCCGGGGTCCTGCGAGTCTCGGACTTGACGTCCTTGACAATTTGACCAAACGATAGGACAACTAATCATTTCCTGGTGTTTTCCATGAGGCCATCAATATCAGTTTGAACCTGCGCACATTTGGAAACTGGAAACGGAGAAATTAACCTTAGGAATTGGGAGCATAAATGTTAAGTCTACAAAGCAAATGCGTTAACAGGGAAATGATCCCCAAACAGGAATAGGCTGCAAAGGTGATTGAAAAAACTAAAGGGAAGCAAATTCACCTAAAAAGTTAACTGTCAATGTGAGCAAACATATATGAAATGAAAATTGATCAGGTATTCTTCCAAACTAGGTTACCAATGAAGCAGTCCCAAATTGGAAAAAGGTCAGCTAGGCTATCTCAAGTGGTAGCCTTATTAATCTGAAGAAGCATGAAGTATGCACTGAAAAACAAATATTTCTTTTATATGAGAGTCAGATGATAGAAGAATCTTGGTAGATGATATCATTATTAGAGAGGAAAGAGTGCAGAATTTATCTGAGCTAATGACACTGGGAAACTAAGTTCAGGAATGTGAAATTTCAGGAAGGTGTCTGCTGATGGGTCACCTCAAAATGAACATTGTATGTGCCGGTATTAAGTAGCAGTGCAAAGTAGCTTTGATTTATTTAGTAAACTTGAAATCTGTGACTGCTGACAATAACCGATAAACATGTTTATTATAAGCAAAGTAATGAGTTGAGTCCTAAAAATATGTTTGAATGCAAAGGCAAGTAGCTTATGTTTTAAAAGGCGTGCATGATGGTTTCGATGTGCATATGTAAAATAACTCATGGAAAAAGTGTAACATTCAGATTTTTTTACACACGATTCATGCGAAATGGGACTGAACATCATATACAAATTTAGGGAGGACAGCGGTCAGGCAAATGCAATGAATTGGAAAGAAATTAGGAAGGAGTGTGAAACATAATTTGGGGAGCAACATCTAGAGAATCCCAATATGTGATCTTGCAAAGAATAACAACACTGGGCAAGAAAAATGGCAAAGTTTGTAGCAGAGAGGAAAAGATGAGTGCTTAAATCTGACCATACAAACAAAATCAAACTGAAATGATGTACCTTGTTGGCATGAAGAGGAAGCTGACACTGCAACAGCAACATTAAAGAAGTTGTCCATTTTGCTATCATCATGAGGTCAAGATTAACTAAGCAGATGAATAGACCTGTTGATAAGGTAAAGATTCAGTCGAAAAGCACAGCAGGAAAAAATCCAATTAAACATCCATATTTACATGTCAGTGCATAGGAAGGAAATGAGTGCGCAAAAATATAAATAAGATGAATAAGTACAAATATAAACCTTTGTCGTGGAGAGTCATATGATTCATGGTTAGATATAAGATAAATCTTGTAAAAAGATTGAGCATAGGTGAATACATTGCAACTATGCTGGTAATATATACTCTTGTAAATACGATGAAGCACATGCCTAGAACCTGTGAACCTGAAACCCTATTTTTTTTCTTCTCCTAATGTTTGGCTGTCGTAGTACAGAGGAGTGGACCTGGGGGTGCCAAAGTGAGGCAAAAAAAAGTTCATGGATTCATCAACCTCTCTCTGCATACACAACTTCAAACAAAAATCAAGGGCGACTCCAAATTTTAGTAGGATTTCAGCAAATTCGCACGAAACTGTATACCTCCCCCAAAAAGAAAGCTCCATCCTGCATGAATCCGGAAACCTAAACCTTAGCCCGCAGGTCCGATGGGAACAACAAAGCAGCCGAGACGAATCGGAATCGCAGGTAGGAGGGAGACGGGCAGGCTTACGGAGCGGTATCCGCCGTGGTGGCCGTGCGCGTGGCTGCGGGCGTTGTCGTAGGCGTCTCATCGACGCTGTCGACATCGTCGTCCGCATCGTCCTCGTCCTCCGACTGGTCCCCGAAGAGGCCGGAAGGAGACGGCCGCCGTCGATGGAGCTACTGCGTAGGCATGCGAGGAGGAGGGTGAGGGCTGATGCGGCTACAGCCCAGGTGCGCGCAGTGAGTAGGCGTCGAAGGCGGCATACGGGGAAGAGAGGAGCACCGCACAGAAAACGAAGCACGCATGGGGAGTGGCACGGTGGAGGAGGATTTTTTTTGTCGCTTGTGTGTCGAGACCGGAGAGGGAGGAAAGGGATAAGGTCTGTGGGACTGCGGGGACCATGACATCGATGGTTCGAGAAGGTGGACACCGAGCCGTAAAGGAGTGAGGGGATCGGACGGCTGGGCGGAGGACGTACACGTGATCTGACGGACGTAGGGAAGGGACGACGTGGCTTCGCAAGGGTGCAGTTTTGTTATACAGGAATACAGGTAATGGTAGATTTCTATACTAAAAGTGCAGTTTGAGTTCGATACAATTCATATAGACATAATCAATTTTTAGTAACGAGAATAGAAAATACTTTAGATAAAATCATAAACCTGACAAAATCTGAACTGTGTTGGCATAAAAACAATAAACAATTTACAAAGACAAAAATTTGATATATTATGATATAAAGACAAATAACAACAATTTATTTTTACTAGTTGGTTCTACAAGAATGTTGTCTGAAATAATCTTAAAATTCAGACACCTAAAATATAGGAAAAATATAGGAGATACATGACGGTTTTGACACGCTAGAAAGACACAAACCAGTCAGTCTACTTTGTGTTAGTCAAATAGACCAATACAACGGTGGCAGCAAACTTCTTTTGTCGGAGAGGAACGATTGCGACAGACATCGGAAGACCCCTCATCGTTGAATTGTATACACACACGCAAAGAGAAGTGTACGCCATCTCTTCTCTCGATCTTGACTTGGATTTCTACACCAACTCTACCTTTGAAACATCGGAAGACCCCTCATCAGGAGTCATCTGGAAAATATTCTAGGCTTCTAGCAGGCGAGAATATGTCCATGTTCATCTCTTAGCTTCCGGTGAGGTTAATTTCCGTTCCAACATGTCGATGTTCATCTCTGCAGTGTTGAGCGACCTTACCGGCAGATCCATGTCTTTCCTGATTGACAAGCTCTCGACGGCGGCGATTGCGGCGGCAACGCTGGAAGAGACTCTGAGCAGCCTTGAGAGGCTTCTCCTTCGGGTCCACGTCATCGTGGAGGAGGCAGAGCAGCGGCACGTCACGAACCAGGCCCTGCTCCGGCAACTCAACCAGATGAGGAAGGAGATGTACAGAGGGTACCATACGCTCGACGACATCTTCAGATGCCGTGACCACCAAGAGACGACGGCCAAAGATCAAAGCCAAGCTGTGATGATGGTTCCGTCCTCCTCCACGCCATCCAGGTCGTTCAATCCTGCAAAGCGTCGCCGTCTCAGCAGATGCAGCAGCAGCTTGAGAGAACAAGAGCGTCTCCGTGAGGTTCTTGTCGGCCTAGAGACCGTCATCAGAGATGCAAGCGAGCTCGTTGTGTTCTTGAGTGGATGTCCTCGCCGGAGCTGCCAGCCTTACGGCACGTACCTGATTCTGGACAACTGCATGTTCGGTCGCCAGATGGAGATGGAGAAGATCATGGACTTACTGCTGCAAGCAGAGGTTCCCATCGATGGAAGCCCACCAGGTGTCCTGCCCATCGTTGGGCCAGGCAAAGTAGGGAAGAGCACCCTGATTGAGCACGCCTGCAACGACGACAGAGTGCGTGACCACTTCTCTCAGATCATGTGTTTCAGTCAGAATAGCATAACAGATGACAGGACAGTGGCAACTCTGAGTGACTGTGATGTAATCAAGCAACGTAGCGGTGCCAATGGCGAAGAAAGGATATTGGTGATAATCGAACTAACCGGCGACATCGATGAATCTGTGTGGAGGAAATTTTACTCTGACTGCAAACGTCATGTTGCAGTCGGAAGTAAAATCATCGTCGCCAGTCGATCTGACAAGCTTGCCAGGCTTGGAACAACGCAGCCGCTGAAAATACATTTCTTCGCACCAGAAGTGTACTGGTACTTCTTCAAGGTGCGTACATTTGGCAGCACGGACACTCGAGACCATCCGAAATTGGCGTCAATAGCCATGGACCTGGCGCAGGAGATGAAGGGATGTTTCTTTGGTGCAACCGTTTTCAGCGGCCTTCTGAAAGCCAATTTCGATGCCCATTTCTGGAGGGGCAGCACGGACACTCGAGACCATCCGAAATTGGCGTCAATAGCCATGGACCAGCCGCCCCTACATTGATATAATAGAGAAAATTCCCTATTTAGCATCGGAATATGACATGGTTCCTGATTTAGCACCAAAAGATAAAATCTTCTTAATATAGCATTGAGTTTATTTTTTGTTCCCTATATAGCACTATCGTTAGATTTGGCCTCTAACACCGTCAACTATGAAGAGAAAAGACCAGTTTACCCCTATTTCATCTATAATACCATCAACATGTTAACAATGATATTTTATTGCACAACTTTTTTTTTTTTTTGGATTTACAACATTTTTGGACCATGAATATTTTTTGCGCATATTATTTATGGCTGTACAATTTTGTGGATAATAATCATTTTTACGGTACCCAATATACATCAAGAATTGTCGTAAATAATCTGTGGAAAAGAATTGTACTACCAAAAAATATTCATGGTCCAAAAAAATTGTATTGTCAAAAAATATTTAATTTTGTAATAAAATGGTATTGTCAAAAAAAATTGTGCAATAAAATTTAACTGTTAACACAGTGTTCTGGCAACACATGAAAACATGGGTAAAATGGTCTTTTCCCCTCATAGTTGATGGTGTTGAGGTCAAATCTAATGGCAGTGCTATATAAGGGACCAAAAATAAATCCAATGTTATATTGAAAAGATTTTATCTTTCGAGCTAAATAAGGAACCATGTCATATTTCGATGCTAAATAGGAAATTTGCTCGATATAATTGGCAAGTCCAATCCGTTCCATAGGTCCAAACCGTTTCACAAGGTAAGACCAATGTCACATTCCATACACATTGTTATCAACGGCCTAGAGCTAGCCTTTTCGTATCACGAAGATGTTGATACTAAGGATGCCTTCCTAACTCGGATTTTCGGTCATGATAATTGCCTCTTACGTGTATAATCTGGTCCAATATGAAGGCGCAAAGGTCATCGACGAGCTCCAAGAAGTTGGCATCTTTGTGTATGTCAGCTCTCATTCATCTTTCTTCTTGCCACTACAATAAAACAAGTTGGGGTGTCATAACATATAAGAACATCTATAAAAACAGTGAGTATCTATAAACACAGTTTGCATATATAAACATGGAGCTGGTTTTGAAGTTAACATGACTGTAATCACAATTAAAGAGGTTCAAGAGGTTCAAACTTACCCTTCAGGGGTGTCACCTGTAGGCACTAGTGTTACTCATGAGAGTGCATACATAGTATCCACAGTGTAGACTCCCCGACTTCTGCTTGGGGCACTGTGTGTTTCATATATGGAGTACTAAAGTAAATTACACTTACCATACATAGTGTTTTGACACATAGGTTAGGCCCTTTTGTTGGATCATGCCTCCCATGATGTGTATTGACATAGAACCGGTAGGCCTGCTCGAATGAATTTAACAAATGCAACTTATTAGTATTCAAGAGTAAAGGTTACAAGTATATATACAAACATATGAGGTAATGAGAATTGTCAATATGTATACGTCTTGAGAATCGATATGTAGTCTTTGTATGTCACCGGGTCCTTATCTATTGAATCATGGACCCACGCCATACCCAGGCCGACATCGACGCCTATACAAATCCAGTGGTTGCTGCATGAATTTAATCATAGTAACGAATAAGCTCTTTTGCATCGAACAAAATATATCGAACAAAGCTTTAATTATAGAGTTGAACTTACTTGAAGTTGTATGCTAGCCATATAGCTGAGCAATTTTGGAGATTTTTAAAAGCTAAGGCAATGTATGCCACAACCTTAAGGGCCGCTTCACGCATTTCCTTCTACCGGATTTTCTCTTTCTTCTCAATAGTTTTTCTAGCAACTAGCTCTTTGCCATCCATTTCCAGTCCTTGGCGTAATAAAAACATGTTGCTGCTATACATTGAGGGTCTACGTACCCAGCTTGCACATTTGGTATTTGTTTTGAAAGGTGCACTTGCATTCTACAAATCATGGTGTAGGTTAGTATCAACAAAATCCAAAGATTACAATAATATCATATCGAGAGGGCAAAGACTTATAGGCACCACGTGCGAGTTAGATTCATTTCCATTGCTCCGAGCGGAAAGCATGTCTGGACATCAAAGTCAAAGATAATTTTCCTAGCTGGGCCTCCAAATGTGCCCACAGGGAAGCGTGCTTGTATGAGATCTATGGTCGTTGGGATAACACGCAAGTACCAATCATGGAACCTTCTCATTCCAAGTGGTAGGTGCTAGATGTCCCGGTTTGGTAGGTGTAAACAAAGCCGAGCAGTCAGACTCATAGTCCGACCACTATAAAGATCGAACAGCAAGCGATTTCAAAGCAAAGATACTTACATATCAGCTTCCCGATAAACGGTTCTGAACCGATGGTGCCTCCCCGAGCACCCAGACACTGCTCTAGGGTCAACCCGCATGTCCTAGGCTAGAGGTCTTGCGGCCCCCGCCATCGGCGTCTTGTCCTTCTACTGCTCGGGGACTCCTTCCCCTCTCTTCGATTACACCTCCGCGCGCGTGTTGCGCGATGACGCTTTAGTGCTCGAAGGGGGAGCTACTAGAGCCTCGTCGTCGTTCGACTACTCGGACACCGCCGCACTCTGTGTCTGAGCGGTCCGATCGCCACCAAATGAGATGCCGACCGGTCTGCAGGGAACTACATCCATCGTTCTTCTCTTCTTTCGGGCCGGCTCATCTTTTGCCGCCATTTTCCCCCAAACTTTCTCTGATACTAGGGGGAACTCTTCTTTTGACCAGCACCTTCACTTCTGGATTCAAACAAGGTGCTGACAGCACCTTCCTCCGGCTAAGTGGTCGGCCTAGCGTCCATTGCTTGTGGCCAATCGCTCCTTGGCATGCCTGAGAAGTACGCCGCCCGTTCCTGCCAATGGATCTTTCCACAAGCGAATCAGTCCACTGCTCAGCGCCGGCACGGGATAAAAAGCACCAGGAACAACAGTCGAGATTTTTACTTGAGGAGGTGGGTTCGTGCAGTTGAAGGGTTTCGACTGCCCCGGCACGGTGTACGACACGTTTGGAGCGAATAGTTCAGTGGCCCGGTGTAGCACAGCCTCCTTCACTAGGTCCTTCGTCCTCTCCCGGGTGCCGTCGCTATCTCCTTTGAAGTCAAAGCCCGCATGAGCCCTCTCCTTATAGGGCTAGATGCGCGCGCAGTATGAAGTTCACCGCCACCACCACTCCGCTCATCTTCATGCCCCTCGTTAGCTCAAGGAGCTCCTTCACCTGTTCCATATTGGCACTTGTCGATTTCTTTGACCAGCTCCTTTGATTCTCCGGAATCTGGACGACATCGCATCGGATGGTAGGATGACTTTGCTTCATATAAAACCACCTGGTATTCCACCCCTTTAGCGAGGTATTTAGCGGCACAGAAATGTATTCGCCCGCCATCCCGTCGTGGAGCTGTAGATACACACCGCCGACAACTTTGGAACCGCCCCCCTCCTTTCTTCTTCAGCCAGAAAAAGTGTCGAAAGAGGTTGAAATGGGGAAGAATGCCAAGATAAACATCGCAGAAGTGGATAAACACAGAAATATGCAAAATAGTGTTCGGATGAAGATTACACAAGCTCACTCCCCAATACTCCAATAGATCCCACAAGAAAGGATGTACGGGAAGCCCTAATCCATGCCAGAAATAATCTTCAAATACAATGAGTTCGTCGGTGTGTGGCATCGAATAGGGCTCACCGTCGGTCGGACGCCATCCGACGGTGACATGGTCAGGAAGAACGCCCGCCTCCACCATCTCGCTGAGCTCTGTCTCCCCCATGACTGATGGTACCCATTCCTTGTCACGGCTCATCCCGGTGGCCGCCTTCTTCGCGTTACCACCTCCCCTCTTTGGCTCCATCCCTCAGATCTGGAGTGCGTGTGAATGCGAATGGGGAAACACGAGGGCAAGGAGGAAGACGAAGTGGTGGAGTGGCAAGGTGGGAGCGTGGAGTGCGGCAATGCAGTTATAAACACACCCAACCAACTTTTCGCATCCAAAGGTTTTTGGGAAACCGCACTGTCGATGTTTGACCACCGATAGCCTGCCACGGGGGTCCCCGGGGCAGTATTGTTCGGGCTTCAGCGTATGCGGAACTCGACGGTGAACGCAAGAGACAGTCGATTTATCCTGGTTCAGGCCCTCGACTGTGGTCGAGTAATAGCCCTACGTCTAGTCGGCGTTAGCCCTTGCGTTGTATTGATTGTGTGTTGTTGTGTTTTAGAAGTTGTGATCTCCCGTCTCTAGGAACCCTGCCCTCCTTTATATAGTCAGGAGGTCAGAATCCTAGTCGATTTACAATGAGAGTTCTTAGTAGGATTACAGGATAATACTACTACTAAGATTACATGGGGAGAATCCTAGTTAGACTAGATCTTCTCTCCTCCTTGCGGGGTATCCCGTGGGTCCCGCACCGACAAGCCCCCGAGCACTTCATGGTTGAGCTCTGGAAGCCTCGTCTTGTTCTTTCAGGCTTTGCCGAGCAGGAATAAGCGTCGTCCGAGTGCTTTCTTGAGCGAAACCGTGTAGCGCTCTGTGAGATCTTCGCGTGGAGTGTACCTTTTTGAAGAAAAAAGTATTCCCCTTTGGGTGTAGCCCCCGAGCCTCTTGCTATTTGGAACTAGGAGCTGGAGGGTCTTGTCTTGAAATTGCTCTGATCCTTCGTTGAAATGTTTCCGAGCATGTGCCCGGGTTCTTTATCAAAAAGAACTCGGATATAGCTCAGTTCGGCTTCTTTTTGTCATGATTCCTTGAAGTAGTTTTGTCTTGAAGAAGTCTTCTTGGTGACGTGCGCTTTTTTCAAAGAAAAAAGTGCACTCACTGAGTGTAGCCCCCGAGCCTCTTGCTATTTGGAACAAGGAGCTGGAGGGTCTTGAATCTTATGTTGTTTTAAAATTGCTGTCTTGAAGAAGTCTTTCGAGTGATGTGCGCTCTTTTGAAGAAAAAGTGCACTCACTGAGTGTAGCCCCCGAGCCTCTTGCTGTTTGGAACAAAGAGTTGGAGGGTCTTGAGTCTGATTTGTTCGAGGAACTGA